AAATTTATCATGGATTGCGATTTTGTTATTAGAAATTGGTTTCGAAATATCGGAAAACACGTCGAAAATAAAATGTTGCAAGTAAATTTAGTAAATTTTTTTTTCAAAAAATCGTAAAAACATCTTGTAGGAAATTTATTCCAATTTTTGAAACTATTTTTACATTCTCTGTGCGGGCATTGGTTGCTGAGTTATCGATGATCTCAAAGACAAAAAGATCCTTTTTCATTAATAGTCAAAAATTTTAGCGAAAAATGGCATAAAAAAGCAAATTGACGCTAAATGAAAAAAATACAATTTTTTTTTCACTATTTCTTAGGACTACGTAATAACCGCAACACAGAAAATTTTTTGCCAAAAGATTTCAAACCTAGAAACTTGAAGCTTTGAAATGGATTTTTAAAATTTTTCAGAAATCATTTAAGAAATTTTTTTGGAATAGTAAAAGGTCAAGGAGGAAATCTTTTTTTCAATTTGAAAAATGTAAAAACAAAATAGACTAACACTCGAAGGGGAAAATAGAAAATTTAAGAGTTATTAAAGCAAGATTTAGATTTTTCAATGGGTGCCCCGTACCCATTAAAAAATTAGAATGTGTGCACCCATATAGTCGGCGCCCATGGTCACAAACAGCTACTGCATACACATTCAACAGGCCAGTCCTACCTCTCTACCACCAAGTCAAAAGTCCTACAACAGAGTTCCAGAACCGCTCCTCCTCCTCCTCCTCCTTCTCCTCTATTGTCGCGGTATAAGGCACGGAAACAGCTAAAGACACAGACCGTGCAGTGAGTGACCAGACTGTTATCACAGAAAGCGGTGATTAGACTAGAACTATGTTAATAGCAATCACGCCGGTCCGTCAGGATTGTTGATCAAGCAGCATTCTACTTTATGAAACTACTTTATTCGTAACGGCTCTACTACAGTGCAATTGCGAACCAAGTCGCACACTACACTACACACATAGATACATTCTACGAACACTAAATCTAAACTATGAAAATTATACATTACTTAGTAGCTACAGTAACTTTAAAATACATACGACAAACAGCTAAACATAAATGTCTAACCAGGTGAATAAAAAGTATGGAATTTCGTAAACTAATTATAGTAGCGTAAAGTACAATTAAAATGTGACCATTTATCAGGAATAAAATTTTTCGAAATTTTTTTTTTGCAATTTGAAAAATTTATTTTGAAAAAAGTACTGACTAAAAAACAATTTTATTTAATCAGAGGTCATTTTTAGATCATAATCTTTAATTAAAAAAATTGCCATGGTGGGTTGCCATTAAAAAAAAAATTTTTTTTTCCAGAACTCAAAAACTAAAAGAAATTTCGAAAAATGTTATTCTTGNTGGCAAAATTGCAATTTAGGTAATTTTTTTATTTAAATATAAAGTAGATAGTTGTCATCCTTAGATTATAACCTTCCTGAGAAAAATGGTTTTATGGTGGGTTGCCATTAAAAAAAAAATTTTTTTTTCCAGAACTCAAAAACTAAAAGAAATTTCGAAAAATGTTATTCTTGATAAATGGTCACATTTTAATTGTACTTCACGCTACACTAATTATTTTTTTCGTAAAGTGCTTAGTTTGTGAAAAAAACGCTTGGTTTCATATTTTTATTCACCCGGTATGTAACAGGAGCGGTGGCGGCAGCCCGCTAACTAGTTGCTTTGACCGTTTTAGTTTGCCTCTCAAACAGACCCTCTCTCGATATTTATTTATGTATATGTACATAGGGTGGTTCACTTAACAAGTGAAACTAAAACTTTATTTGTCTTAACATTTATAATTGATAATACAAAAATAGAGGGTTCATTCTGTCTCACAACGCTTATTGCTGTCAACTGGATAAAAATTTTTTTACATTTTTTATTGTCGCCGCGAGACGGCGCCCCGCCAGCGCCCAACAACTATCACAAGGCAGGCCAAAGGCCGTCGTCCCATCGGCACTCCTAACACTAAGCATCTTACAATTATTATAAAAACATCATACGATGAGCGATGACGCGAAACCAAGAGCAAAATACTGAATAGGAGATTTTTTTGAATAGTGCTCTTAGTTTCGTTAGGAGATATATCGGGGATTCGGGCTCACTCAGGGCAAGTTTTTATCAAATGTAAAAAATCGTTTTCATTTGCAATTTTTTCTTTAATATTGAAAAATATGTTAAATCGGACAAATAAACGGATTTTTCTGCATTTTGTTCCATTTAATAAATTTTCCTAAAATAAGCGAAAAACAAAAAAATGTATGAAGCCCCTAAAATGAGTTTTTAGGTTATGTTTTTTAATTTCAACCACTATTTTCGATTCTAGAGCCAAAAATCTCCATTTCCGGCTTATGATTGACTAAACTAGACGATAAAACCAAATTTGTAAGTAATTAAAAATAAAAAAAATCGTATTGAGACAAAAAATTAAGAAAGAAGTCATGTTTTTTTTTTCAGGGATTTAATGAGAGTCTAGGGCCAAAAAATATCAATTTCCAACTTACAATTGAGTGTTTGTTTGATAAAACCAAATTTAATTACAGATAATCAAAAAAAATTCATTTTGGTCAAAATTAGTCGACATATTTTTTTTTACACGAAATAAGTAAAATAAATTTCATCTGATTGCAATTTTTTACGTAAGTGTAGTTTTTCTAATAAACACAATTCTTGTGCTAAATCGAACAAAATGAGTCAAAAAAGCAAACAAGATATTTTTATAATAGATTGCATTGATCTAATAAAGATTTCATTAAAAAAAAATAAGTCGGATTTGTGATTTCTAGTCTAAATTCAATGAAAATTTCATGTTTTTCATTTTCTTGCAATTTTTTTCTTTAATGAGGGCGATTCTCATTGAAAATATGTTAAATCGAACAAATAAACCGGAAAAAGTCAAGAAAAGTCCCTCAAATGAGTCTTGTTTTGGATAAAAGAAATGGTACGTTATTTTAGGTTGTTTTTTATTTTTAACCACTATTTTCGAGTCTAGAAACAAAAATCTCTATTTCCGGTTTACCGTTGACTAAACTGAATGATAATATCAAATGTAATTATAAGTAATATAATTTTTAGTTTTCTTGTTCCATTTTATAACTACAAAATAAAGGAACCAAAACAATAACTTATTTCAGACCATATATTTCAATTTTTTCTTTAATAAAAGCAATTCCTATTAAAGAATATGTAAAACCTAACGAAAAACTCGAAAACAGTATGTTTCCGTGGTGTTTTGCATAGGCGTAATAAAATTTCTTACAATAAGCAAAACATTAAAAACAAAGAGTGAAAAAAAATCAATAGAAAAAAATCGCTTGAAACAATAGATTAAAAAAGAAATCAGGATTTAACTATAAATAATCAATTTTTTTTATTTTTTTTTGGAATGGTTAATTTTTTTTTACTGAAAAAATGAGCTAAACCTCACGAAATAAGTCGAATAAATTTCATCTGGTTGCAATTTTGTGGATAAATATTTAAAAATTTCTGGTCTGAATTCGATGAAAATTTCTTGTTTTTCATTCAAATGCAAATTTCTACAATTTTTTCCAATAATTATAATTATTATTGATGTTATTCGGTAATATAGTTGAATTATAATTAGCAATAAAAGGTGATTTATTAAGTTTAATTAACAACAAATGCATATTTTTTAATGTTTTTTCAATTTATTAATAGAATTTGAAATATCCTCGTAAAGTATCATTGTTTTGTTGAAACAATCCAAAATGAAATTGGATTTTATTAAAGAAAAAATTGCAAAAAAATGGAAAAGATGAAATTTTCATCGAATTTAAACCAAAAATCGCAAAATCAAAAACTTATTAACTATTATAAAAATTATGTTCTGTTTATTTTTTTGCATAATAAAGGGAAAACATAAAACTTTTATTACAAAATCAAAAACTTATTTTTTAATGAAAACTTTTGTTCCCAAACCAAAAAGTGCTTTTTTCCGCTTGAATATGTTAGTTTTGTTAACTTTTTTAAAGAAAAAAATTGCACAAGAAAGGGAAAACATGAAATTTTCATTGAATTGCAAAATAAAAACTTATTTTATTGTCTTCAAAGCGAAAAGTGCTTTTTTATGCTTGATTCAAAAAAAAAATGTTAAAAGTTTTGTTAGAACAATCCAAAATAAAATTGAATTTTATAAAAAAAAAATTGCACAAGAAAGGCAAAACATGAAATTTTCATTGAATCGCAAAATCAAAAACTTATTTTTTAAGGAAAACTTTTGTCCCCAAACCGAAAAGTGCTTTTTTCCGCCTGATTAAAAAAAATGTTAGTTTTATTAAAACAATCCAAAATGAAATTGGATTTTATTAAAGAAAAAATTGCACAAGAAAGGGAAATCATGAAATTTTCATTGAATCGCAAAATCAAAAACTTATTTTTCAAAGAAAACTACTTTTCTCCGCTCGATTAAAAAAAAAGTTAAAGTTTTGGATTTTATTATAGAAAAAATTTCATTGAATCGCAAAATCAAAAACTTATTTTTTAATGAAAACTTTTGTCCCCAAACCGAAAAGTGCTTTTNTTTGGATTTTATTATAGAAAAAATTTCATTGAATCGCAAAATCAAAAACTTATTTTTTAATGAAAACTTTTGTCCCCAAACCGAAAAGTGCTTTTCTCCGCCTGATTCAAAAAAAAATGTTAAAGTTTTGTTAAAACAATCCAAAATGTAATTGGATTTTATTAAAGAAAAAATTGCACAAAAAAGGGAAATCATGAAATTTTCATTGCATCGCAAAATCAAAAACTTATTTTTCAAGGAAAACCGAAAACTACTTTTCTCCGCTCGATTCAAAAAAAAAGTTAAAAGTTTTGGATTTGATTATAGAAAAAAAGTCATTTTTTTCGCTTGATTCAAAAACTTTCATCCTGAGTGATCCCGAATCCCGAATTATATATCAACTTTCGTTGCGTCAGCCAAGAGACGCATTGGTCCGCGAATCACACTATGAAAAAAAAAAACTCGATGCACAGCTACTACGGAATGTGGGCAGGTCTGTTGTGAAGGAGGATGAAAATCAGGCCGATGCCTTGACTAGGGGGGCAAACTATGGCGTAGCTCCAAGACTCAGTCTAAAATACATAAACGGGAGGGGCACAAACCCGACCATACAAGTCGCAAAAGTGTCACTTTAGCTGCCTGCGAAATGCATAGACGGTAAAAAAAAAAAAAAACTATCGCTATCATCGATGAGATCTATAACAGTAATAAATAGCAAAATAATTAAGTATCGCTCAGTCAATTCGGTAATAAATTAAGTACCTACGAATAATTTAAGTACAATAGAAAAAAAAAAGGGGATTTATTGCCATGGAGAGGATACAGAGCAAATTTCGTTTAATACTGATTATTGCGAGTTATTGCTAAATGCTAAATGAGCCTAGCATTAACGCAAATGAGATTCTATATCTATGTACACATTTTTTTATTTATTGAAATATCAAAAACGCAGTCAAAATAGGCACGAGTCGCCACCATTGACAAAAATTGGAAATGTTTCGTGGAAGTCCCGTTTAATAAAAAAACACAGTGAGCAAAATTACGTTCAAACGTACATGCCGACGCCGTACATGGAGCCCCAATCGACCCCTTGAAAGCTCGACATGTCGACATTGGTGAGGTTGTAGCCCTGGTAGGGGCTAGCGCC